CTATGAACACTCAGGCTATTGAAATGAGTCCAATCACATTTAATGTGCACTTTTTTTCATTTATTAAATAAACAAATTAAAGAAAAATATATTTGTATAGAAAACGTAATACGATCAAATTGATGAATTAAGTGACGTGGCGAAATCAAATGACACACATATATAGTATTAAGTAAGTAATCCAGATGATGAAAAGAAAATAATGATATTGTATTAAAGAGACCGTATGGCATTTGTCCAACTTTTCCTTTTTTTTTTTTTTTTTTTTAAAGCAAATAATAGAAATTTTGGAAAATACTTTAGAAAAATCTTAGAAAAAGAAACAAAAAAAAAAAAACATTTTAATTGTATCTCAGACAGCAGATGTTTTTCAGACAAATTTCTTTTTTCAATTACTACTCAGCCTCCAAGTGTAGCGATGTAGCAACCTTCCTTAAACCATTTACAGCATTCAAAGTGTATGCATGTTAATCCCGATAGAGGATATTTTTATTTAATGTAAAATTTGCTGAGACCTCTATCGAATTGTCCCATCAATGATTTTGTCTGTTTTCATAATACTTTTGGTGTCGAAAAACTTCCATAGCAATCTTAAGCTTGTCTCATACATATATTCCATGAGATGAGGTAAATTGATCAAATATGTATGATTGCTGCTATGATATGCGCAAAATTATTGCTACATTACTTAAGAAGATGTTTCCAGTAATAATTCCGATAATCTAGTTTGTTACTAAAACAACAACAGTAACTGAAAATGAATTGTATTCAAAATTTCACCTTAAGTGAAATATAAATGTCTTCGTTAAACGTACGCTATTGTATATTTATTTTCGCTTGCAATATCCAGAGAATAATACCCGCATCAAAGACAAAGACGTTACGATATTTCTGATTAGCGTAAAATATCAAGTAGATCTAACCACGTCCATCAGTCCTTGCCGGAGTCCATTTGCCGGACATTTGTTATTGGAGCTGAAAAAAGATGAAAACTAAACTCTGGCCTCTACACTCTCAGCTCATAATCAACCTGCTCCCAAGAGGAACATGAACCTAAATGATATCGATTTGAAAATGCACGAAGATTATGTAAAATTGCAGGGTAAAATTATTAAAGTTAGAAGGTTGAAATTTTCGATATTTACTTTACTCTCTAGGTCCAAAAATGCAACCAATCGGCCGTGCTCATACAACATTACGGGCAATTATATTTTATTTTTTTCCTTTCTTTCAGATTTTATGCTTATTTATCATAAGGCAAACAAGACAGAATTAGTTTTAATGTACTTTGTAAATTCCTCAAAAGTGGATATATTATCTGCATAAAAATGGATCTAATGGATCAATTCTTTCTTAATAATACCAGCGATGATATGGGCATCAAATAAAGGTACTTGGAGAGTAGAATGCGAAAAGCATAGTGGCGGGTATGCGAGATTCGTCCTCCGCCGAATATAACTTTCTTACTAGTTGTAATAGAGATTGCCTGTTGTGCTAGTCCAAAAAAATGGAAGAGTTTTTTTTTTTTTTTTTTGAATAATTGTAAGGTGGTATTTATTATATTGTTTACGAAGAGATAAATAAATTCATAAGTTAATTAATCTTGACATTAAAATTAGAAAATTAGTGTCAAGTAAATTAATAGAACAAAAAATTGTACTTAAATTTTTATGTAAAAAGTAGCGTTGGCTGACGCCTACGTAAAAACATGAAATTCGGCAGACGAGAAAGAATTAAATAAACTGGTTATGTATATAAATCTCTTTAAATGAAATTAGTCCGCAAAAGTTGAAATGTATTTAAGATGACGTGTCTTTAATATTTGAAAAAAAAACAGAAATATCTTATATGAGTGAGATTGTTATCATAATTTCTCGCTCGCTCTCTCTCTCTCTCTCTCTCTCTCTCTCTCTCTTTTAAAATACATTATGAGTAAATATCGATTACAGAATATTGTATTGTATCGTTTGTATTGGCAATGTATACGATATAACTCTGCGTAAATTTATTCACGATAAACAGAGTATTCATTGAGAATATTTACAATGCTCTTCGACGCTAATTTTCATATATTTTAACAGTATATGTTTTAACAATAAATGCTTTAATTGTGAAAACTAATAATCCGTTACTTACAGTAATTGAAAAATTATACATAAAATTAAAGAAACATTTTAAGGTTCAACTCTCAAGCTCGGTAGAGTTTTCAATGGAGCCGAGATGCTACTACTTTAAGACTTTAGTCTTGGAATTTATTTCTCTGGCTAAATTAATAATAAAAAATTATGTTAAATTTCATATATGGGATGTGACGAATTTAGATAACGCTTGTATCTATTTTGTATAGAACAACTTTTTCTTCCCCACAAAAATGTTCTCCTTTGGATATCTACCGATGAAAATCAAATATACCTATAAGAGGTGTGCTCAAGAAAAAGCTGACTTTTTTTATTTTTCTCATTGGTATAGTACTTCTGGTATGTACCTCCCTGAGTATTTTCAGCCAAGCGGCCTTTATCTTGATAATCGTAACAAAACTGCGTCTTTTTATGAGTCCATTCAGTTTTACGAACAGGAAACGGTCGTAACGGGCCAACTCTAATGAACGCGATGGCCGAGGTATGATCATAACGTTGCTTTTGGTCAAAAAACAAGCAATGATGTCTGGGCGAGGGCATTATCATGTTGCCATATCCATGAGCGGTTATTTCACAATTCTGGACATTTTTTTCGTGTTGCTTCGTGCAGACTTCATCGCATAACTTCAAGGTAGTATTCCAAGCACATCGCCAATGTAATCGAAAAAAACATTTCTGACCGAGCTTGGCGTGCGTTTTTCGGTCTTGGCTCTTCATGGTTAAATTTTATCATCTGTAAATAACAAACTAAGAATGCAAAATGGCTGATAATGTCAACATATGTTGGGGACATGCGTGAGAATGAAAATCGAACGTATGTGGCAAACGAAATTTGAAAAATCACATACACACACCTCGTATTGTAAGCGAGTAAAGGCACATGTATGCGTTGGATGGCTTAATGGAATGGGAATGTGAGCTATTCGATTACAGACGCATTGTAAACCCGGAAAACATTTACGTAGATAGCTCTCGTTATCAAACAATCGCAATAACATACGAATTTTGTTCGATTTCGCGTTTGTACTTGAATCCATAATAGCTATCGAGCTTTAGATTAAAAGGCGAAATAAATCAAAACATTATTGTAAAAGCATAATAATTGATAAAATTAATGGACGTAGAAGAACGTCTGAATCGTCAAAATTCGAAAATTCTAGACAGAATAGTAGAATCAAATCATCGCTTTCAAAACTTTTACTTCATTGATATCGTAAAATATGGAAAGGGCTAAACTAATGTGGAATAAGTGAAAAAATTTATGGAATGGAGAAAAAAAGCGGAAATGCAGAAATGTCACAAACTATTTAAGAAATTGTAGTTTTTTTATTTTGTTGTTAATCAAAAGTTGTGACCAACAAACAATCACACATAATAAAATATTCTGTAACACAGATGTAACCGACCGCAATTTATTTTTGGTGACAAATTCGATATTTTTCTTTCAAGTTTGCAAACTTCTAGATATATTTTAATAGGATTGCCATCAGTCTTAAAACTATTATTAATTCCCACAAGATATTCTAAAAATGTAAGATTCGCCGCCTACGTGGACGGTCAAATTTTGTCCACAAATTATAAATATTAATTTACCCATTAAGAAAAAGAAAAATAAAATAGTTTCAATTTGTTTTATCAAACTTTTTAAAGTTGTTTTTAACGTTTTCGATACAAAATTTTCTTCCATGTTTGCCTGATCAAAGGTGTTAGCTAAGCCTAAAAGTGCATTTTATTGTGCGAAGAAAATTATATTGAACGGAAAACTTATAGAAAATTATTCCCAAGAGGGCAGGGAAAGAGGCGTAACTCTCATCTCTCAACATTCTCCTTTCGATATTCGCACGATTTCTCCACGCAGTTGATCAAATAGAGTTAACACAGCAAACGATCGTATCGTTGTGACTATTGCGACTATTAGTAGAGAATGTAGGCAGAAAATGTTAAAAGGGTAGCGATAACGACTACTACGTCCCTTTAAAGCTCCAATCATGTTCATATTCGTAACATTTATTGTCTTATGACGAGCGTATCGCCATTAAATGGCGAATATATAAATAACTTAGAAATGAAACACCTAGCGGTGAACACAGACATAGGATAAGGCAGCTGATGAGTCAAATTCTTCCCCCGCGTTCATAGTGTTTCGAAACATATTGGTAAGCAATGCTTGTTGTATCACTGACAACTGAGATTGCTTATTACCTCAGCATATAGTACCATACTTTTTTTTCAGTTTTCAAAATCCAAATTTCGGAAATGACGAAAACGTTTTTCTAAATATCAATAAATTTGAAATATATTTACGGTAAGAGAAAAAAAATGAAAGTGAATTTTTCAAAATATTTCCTCACTAAAATCAATTTTTAAGTGTCCAACGAGAGAGAGTAATGCTACTTAAATATAAAAATCTCTTACATCGATGGCAACCACTTGCCTATAGGGGGCAGGTATTTACCATGTGTCATCGGTATTTCATACTAACATATGACCCTTGTTCGATTTAATCGTCTGCATTAATCTCTTCAAAAACGTTATCTCTGCAAACAATTATAATTCGCAACCAAAGTTTACGTTTTCGATCTATTGGGATTCGGCCAGTTATGGAGGTTGGGAGCAGAAAATACCTTGCATTAATTTGAACTTATAGACTTGTAAGGGCTAATAAACTTGCTAAATATAAGACCAAATTTATCTTTAAGGCAAACTGAAGCTTACAGCAATCGAAAGTGTATTTGGTATAAAAATTCGACTAACAATAATTAGCAGAAATGATGGATGCCTCAACAATATTCTAAAACGAATCTAACTACTTTTTCTTTCACAATTCCAGATGAACTAAATCTCGTTTCCTTTTTCTTACAGATTTTACTAGAAAGCTCAAGGTTTTAAGTGCGTCCAGTTCCTTGCAACATCTACAAGATGTATCCATTCGTAAGTATAACGCGCTTCCTTTTTTTTCTTTCTAATTTTTGATATATAGATACTTAAGCCAATCAAATCAGTTATGTGTTTAAAGCAATATCACTCTTAAAGAGCATCAGTGGGGTGGACTAAGGTCGCTTGGGAGCAAAAAACCTAACAAGAAACGTTACTTTCCTTATAGAGAGGAGCGAAGTACTAAGTACATACGATAGCATCGGATTAGTAGAAATACTGCTTGAATATCACATATCATGTAATATCATGATTTTTCTTATAACCTAGTGTTGGGGTTACAACTCAAAACTTGTTTATAGGTTTTATTTCGCCAAGCAAGGAACGAGTACACGCTTCACTAATTTTGTTACTCAAATTCTCTATCAAAATTGCCATTAGCTTAGATTAGTTTAACATTATATATATCCCGATAAATAGACATTGGACAGTATTAATAGAAAATATATTTAAAATCCTCATAATCGTTCTACGAATAAAAATATTGTCATGCGACTTTATTGGAAATTCCGTCTCCCTGCCGTTCTTATGCCCCACTCATGATGCTGCAGCATTATTACACAAGACTCCATACTCCATAGTTCGCAAAAGAATGCAAATTGTTCGAAAACCGACAATCAGCTAATAATATACCCTATACAAATTTCACTACCAAAGCAAACCCATCGATTAGTAAATTAGGAAATTTTTGAATCAAAAAATTTAATCTGAGTTCAAGGACTTCGAGTCAAACGATGAGAGTATTGCTTAGTTCTTAGAGTATATTGGGCTAGGTTCAGCTTTTAAATGCCCGTTCCACAAAAACAAAATCCAATAGAGCGAATATGTTGAATCTGTAACCTAAAGAAAACTGCGACAATTGAATATTGGGCCATTGAAAACTAGATACAATAAATGGCGCATTCTTAATAGAAAACAAGTTGGGATTTTCTAGGGCTCCCGTTCGCCTTCAGATCCAACTCCGCATGATGCTTCTCAACATTATATAATTTTTATATTATTGTGCATAATCACTCTGATGTGTCTAATGACTAAAATTAAGTTAACACGAATATTGTTAGTTACTGCCATTTCGACCTCAGAGGCAGCATAAAAATAACCTCTACGTACGCGCACCTATTTAGGTTATTATCAATCCTAGTTTCAAGGGCACTATCATCAAAGAAAAAAAAAAAAAGAATTTCTTATGCTTTTATGGTTTATATACATTTATCAATTATCTTTATTTTACTTCTACTATGAAATACGGTGTGTGGTGTGGTTTTGTGGCATATTATCAAAATTTAAAGCAACAAACAAAAAAAAACAATATCATTATAATTTAAATTAAAGCAAAAATTTCATAAACATTTCATAAAAATGATATATATAAATATTCAAATAAACGAGCATGTATCACTTGCTTATACTTATGTGCGTGCATACATACTACATACAATATCACTTAATAACGTTAAATTGTTAAACAAAGTCTCATGTAAAATCATTTTCATGATTCATAGAAATTTCCAAAAAACGATTTTTTTTTTTGCTTTCGTTATTTTGCCTTCTTATCGTCTCCTTCCAGACAGACTCGCTAGATGTTTTTTAAGCGATTTACTCCCTGATTAGTTTCTTGAACATTCAATAATCCATCTATAAATTTTCTCGTTCATTTCTCTGTTTTTTCTGTTTTCTCTTATAGGGCTCCGGTATGCCACAACCACATGCCACTGCCTCACCCTATAATAATAATTCTGGTCCCAGTCCACCACCAGCCGGTGCACCTTTCGGAGGTGGTTGGATACCACCGATACCGCAAACACAACATCATTATCAGAATCACCCACAGCATCAACAACAACAACTACAACATCATCAACAACATCAACAACAACAGCCATCTCATAATACAGCACCTTATCCCACGACCCCAAGCTATCCCTCCTCCACTCCTTATCCATCTGCATATCCACCCTATCCGGCAGTTAATCAATCATCAACAATTCCCTATCCCGGCTCTTCTTATCCCCACAATCCCCAGCACATACCATACCCGCAAACTAATAAAAATCAAGCTCATTTTATATCATCACCATCAACAACCGGGCATCCATCGTCATATGCGCCCAATCATGGTTACACACCGGTAATGACAGCTGGTGGTTATGAGTCTCCGGCTGGTAATATGGCTCACTGCTTCAATGAATTGGCACAACGTCAAGGTCAATCCACGTCAATGCCACGTCAAAACGCTCTACGCAAGGAGGTTAGTTTCTCTCTCTCTCTCTCTCTCTCTCTCCCTCTTTTTTTTTTTTTTTTTTTTTTTTTTTTGTTTGTTTCTTATTTCTTTGCTGAAAACCAAGAGAAAATCAGTTAATTTTCAATTAATATTTAAAAAACAAAAAAGCAAATATATGTTTCAAAACATTGCCAACGTGAGGAAAGCATTGACACATATATTGATGAAAATGTACGTACGAAAATCTGTTATCTTATTATTCTAAAGTAAAGAGTAGTTGCTAATGGCTTCCTTTCTTTTTTTTTTTTTTTTTCTTTTGTAAGAAGTTTGCGCATTGTCTTTAAAGCAAATTACTTTATATATCACGTATGGTAATATTCGAACCGTACTTTGTTCGCTCTTGCATAAGCAAGCATAGATTAGAACAAGAAAATTTCAAATACTTGCCATCTCTAAGAGATATACAGCCATGGATACACGGATAGAGCAAATTTAACGTAAATCTATGCTACATGAATTTTTACACTTACCACAAAAGTTGGGGTTATATTGATTTTATCGAAACGTTTGCACCGCTCAGGAAGACTCTTCATAGACTGTGTAAAGTAATTACATAAGGGATGGTACAAAATTTACGCGAGATTTCAATTAAATAAAAAACAGAGATATTTTCTTTTTAATCAGGATAAGGTTATGTGTGGAATAGCCTGCGCATGTGCACATGCACTGCCCTCTCTTATCGAAGTTTTCCATGACCATTTTGCACAAATGTGACTGAATTTCGTTGATGCACTCTACCTCCTATGCTTGTGGGCTTGTTGGGATGAATCAATACCCCGACCATCCCTATATATTCTTGATAAGTATCAAATTCTTAATTGATCTAATCAGAGTAAAGACACGCATTGTCGCGCCGCGATTCGAAAATTTGCATTCGCCGCATTCGCATTCGGATTCTCATCGACATCCTGGAGGTGGTCGTAAATATTGAATTTGATTGAAACGCTAAAACTAAACAACTAAACTTTTTTTAGTTTTGTTTTTTTTTTTGCTTAAGGGATTGCGATATTCTTGGCAATTTGTGCTCATCCTACTCTAATCTAAGAATTTATTTCTTTGCCATAGTAATAGTAAAATAAAAATAACTTTTTTTTTTTCTTTTTCGTAAACCTTTGTTTACTTTTATGGTACACTGTGTGCTAATTATGTGTCTTGGACTGTTATAAAAATATTCTTCTTTTCTTTAATAATAGGCAGCTGGATTACAGATCTATGCTCGGTTACTTTTGCATTTACACAATCTTTTTTTGTTTGCATTCGATCTTTGTTCGATATCTGCTATGGCTTATAAATTATTAACAGCAATATTTGCGGCAATTGTGAGTATAGTTGTAAGCGGATTTGAAAAACGTTGAGGATCGCTTATATATCCAAACTGTGGACTTTTTTTTTTTTTTTTTGATAATGATGGACCTCAACCAACTTTGTTTTCAATATTTCGCTTCTTCTGTTGCCTGGAGAGTAGGTTGCAACACATTTGAAGACAATCAGTTCTTCATCGAGAAATTCATCGAGAGTGCTAGCGATTTCCTATTGTGAGATGGAAAACTTCATTGAAGGCAGGCTCATTTGCCCTTTAGAGGCTGCCATTCCTGCACATAGGCATGATGGTGATAGGCAGCGAAGGAAGGAAAGAAGGGATTTGTTTTTATATCTGAGAACGATCTTATGATGAGTACTTTCAACTTTTACGGTAGGGTTTGGAGCTACGTGTACTGCGGACGCTGAGATTATAGATTAAGCAGACTGAAGATTTTAGTTCATTTCCTGACAACCATGTATAACCGAATTAATTTATGGTATTCTGTTTTCTCCTTGCCTTTTGATAGGATATGGAAATTTCCTAAGCTATACGCGAAAATCAGATTTCCATTCATTAGTAACGTCATTAAAACCAGTGTAATCTGCAAACTAATGATCGGAATGTCATGAAATTTGGATATAGTTCGTTGAAGGTTGCTAGTATCAAACATGTATTCATTAATAGTGATGACATCTATCTTTCATTCGGCGACCTTGAATGAGATCTCATATGATAGACTTTGACAAGTTGTGAAATATTACAAGACCGCTATCAAAGGTCTATGGAAAAACTTTAGATGAATTAATGATTCAATTATCGATAGTCGGATTAAGTGTTCACAGACAGATTTTCACACAACAGACAACATCGCAACGATCATTAATTAATTTTATTTAGAATCTAACTTAAGCTGCTCTTAAAGTCTATAAGTTACAGTTTTTTAGTTGTTATGGAAGGATTATAAAAGGCAGATGACTTTGGGCAAAATTTTTATTTGATTTTCTCCGATCAGGAATCAGTGCAATAGAATTACAAGGCAACTAATTAAGACGACTTTCTGAGATTTCTAACAAGTACAAAGGTGTTCCGCATCTTCCATAAAAAAAAAACTTTTATAATAACGGAAAGCCCTCTTAATATGCAAGAGTGAGCAGATAAAAAGTAGGAATATCTCCATGGTCTATGTACATATGTAAGTTTATATGATATGCAATAAAGTAATTTACTTTTTACAGGGTACTCCGACCGTATTGCCAGCACAAAATTTTGATCCCGTCAAAGATGCTCACGATTTACGTAAAGCCATGAAAGGCTTCGGTACTGATGAAGATACTTTAATTAATATTATATGCCGTCGTTCCAACGAACAAAGACAAGTACGGCCTGAAATGAATTTTCTTGCATCAAACATAGTTATGGAATAATGATTTAATTTGTTTTTTCATTTTCAGGAAATCCAACGTCAATATAAGACACATTTTGGTAAAGATCTTATCGAGGATGTCAAGTCGGAAACGAGTGGCAATTTCCAAAGACTTTTGGTTGGTTTATTGCGTCCTATTGTTGATTTCTATTGTGCCGAATTAAATGATGCTATGGCTGGAATAGGAACCGATGAAGATGTTTTAATTGAAATCTTATGTACTCTCTCTAATTACGAGATACATACGATTAAAAATCAATATTTAAGATGTAAGTAACGTAACACAGTGCACATTACATTACGTCATTAAGGATAATATTTAAATTCATTTTTTTTAGTGTACGGTGCTCATTTGGAATCCGAATTAAAATCGGAGACATCGGGCAATTTTAAGCGTTTATTGGTCTCTTTGTGCACAGCAGCCAGGGATGAAAGTGGTCGTACCGATCCGGTGGCGGCTCAAAATGATGCGCGTGAATTGCTTAAAGCTGGCGAATTGCGTGTCGGCACCGACGAAAGTATGTTTAATATGATTCTGTGTCAGCGCAATTATCAACAATTAAAATTGGTAAAATAAAAAAAGAAAATTAAGTGTATGGCGAAATAATAATAAATAATCATTTAAACGGATAGATATTCCACGAGTATGAACGAATGACTGGGCATTCGTTGGAGAAGGCTATTAAAAAGGAATTCTCGGGTGATATCATGGAAGGTCTGATTGCTATCTACCGTTGCGTTACAAATAAAGCGGAATATTTTGCGTCACGTTTATACAAAAGTATGGCCGGTATTGGTACTAACGATAAACAACTAATACGCGTAGTTATAACGCGTTGTGAGGTTAGTGTAAAATCGCCTTTTTTTTTCTTTCCATTATCATCATTATCATCATCACCAACACCAACACGATATCTATTTGAAATTTCATCCTCATTTTTTACCGTGCGCATTAGACAAAGCACAGAGCTCCTTTGTCTAAAATAAAAAGGTATAGTTTACGCCATAAGTAAAAGCAAAAAAAAAAACGTCGGGCAACTTTATACAAACTGTTGACAGCTTTGGCGAGAATAGCAGTAAGAATTGTTATGAACTGTTGTATATTGTCTCATTGTCCTATGTAAAAAAGAAAAGCTGATATTATATATATGTATATATATGTATATATAAATAATTAATTAACGCCCCACCACAATGTAAAAAATACATTTCCTATATATTTCTGCTTTTTGTTGGTTTTGTTTTTTTTTTTTCTATGTTTTATAATCACCGCAAAAGGATTTTTAATTCTATTGGTGACAGGGAGAGGAGCCTTACTAGTTATGGATTTTCGTTAAATCGTTTAGCGTCTATTTCTAATTGACTCTCATCGACCCACTCACTAAGGAATAAGGCTTAACCTTGGCATATATATTCTTATATGATGATAAATTCATTTTAAGAAGATAGACAACGCCTTACTCCGTCCCGTTCTTTACTAATACAATATTATCAAATAATATCATACTCGAGTATCTTCATTAAAGTCATAAACAATGGGATAAGAATGTAAGGAAGTTAGATTGAATTGCAATTTATTGACACGCCTAGTTTAGCCATCAAATTTTATGTATAAGTTCGGAACATTTAAGCGGACACCACGTTAAAGTTGAAAGGAAGTGCGAATAGTGATATGTTTGTATGAATTGAAATGATGTAAAACTTTGTTTTTGTTTTTTTTTTTTCTCTTTAACAAACATTGTGAGTTCGGGTAGCATGAAAAATAATACCTAAATAAAATGAAACATTTCAGATTAAATGTCAAACAAACTATCCCTTGAGATTGTCAGTTATTGAACCCATAAAGTGCGAATGAGTCAATAGGTAACCGAATCCCTACACTTCGCTTATATAATTCTCGCTTCCTTTCCATTTATATTAAAAGTGTTATTGTAATTATTCTCTTTCGTTGAAGATCGACATGGCGGATATAAAGGTTGCTTTTGAGCGTTCATATGGCAAGAGCTTGAAAAGCTGGATTAAAGGTGACACCTCAGGCCACTACAAGCATGCCTTATATGCTTTGGTAGGAGAGCAACGTTCTTCTTAAATCCTTGTAAAATGATAAAGTTCAACAAAAACTTTCATCACTTTCTTTAATCGAATATCCTACAAACACAAAAACAAAAAAGTAATAAAACACTGATAAAATGTTATTATTAAAACAAAATCTTTTTATATGTGTACAACAACAAGCTTCTTATTATATACAAAAGAAAAAACGAAAACAAAAACAAAAAAAAAAAAAAAACACAATTTTTGTCAAATTTATGCATTTAAAATAAAAAAAAAAAATGTACTATTTTTTATAATTATTGCTAACAAAAAAAAAAAAAAAAATAAGAAACAAACAATATTTTATAATCTTAACAAAATTATTACAAAAAGCTGGATTATTTAAACAATATTTAAATTGAATGAAAATAAAAAAATGTAAACAAATAAATGAACAAATAAAACACAACGGATAAATAATTTATTGCGTTTTCAATATTCTCACTTCAACATAAATTGAATCATTTTTTAAATATTGAGCCTGCGTTAGGATCTTATGAGGTATATAAAAAAATTGATTAGTTTGTATATAATCATCACTTTTCTTACGAACATTAACAAGCTTCATATAATCGTCGGCTTCCGATTGACTTGTATAACGCTGATCACGGATTAAAACATTGGCTTGCAAGCGACAAGGCCACGTTAAAAGCGCATCATATTCTCCGGGTAAAACATTCAAACAAGCCAACATGTTACGACCTTTCCAATTTCCTTTTCCATTCAAATAAATATCGAGCTGCAGACAAATTCGTAAATATTAGCACACAAGCTATTTAATATGCGTAGGATATTTACCCTCAAAGCATAACCGTAAGGCTTATTAGAGAACATAGCACTGTGCAATATCGTATCATACTTTTTAGATTCGTCCATTTTCTTAGACAAATCCTTAATATGCCAAATTAAATGACCTAAAATTATAAGTAGTTCTTGAAAAAGCAAATCATTGGTACTTATTGGCCTGCGATTCTCTAATAACACTTCTACGGTTGTTTACATATTAAGATGGAACGATTTTTCGTTGCCAATCTACAGAACTTTGAGCTATTTTTAATTGAAGCCCTTTTGAACCCCATTTGTGCCATTGATTTCTTGCTCTCCGGCCTATCTATCATCTCATCTCTTATTCTGTCATTGAATACTCTTTGAAAAATTTAAACTACTACCTGCTTATTCCGTCATCTATAGCATATTGGAAATCTTCTTTTGATCAAAAATCCTTCGAATTTCGATTCTCGATCTGTGACATATTTTGGACTGCTTCCCACTACCAACTCATATACATTTTAATTAGCAAAACGATAATAAACTTCTGCAATATTTTGGGTTGAAAATTGTTCTCTACTTTCGAGTAATTTTGAAAGCATTTTCATAGCCACTGCCAGAGATATATATTTAATAAAGTTTCTCCACAGAACCATTTGAAACTTTACGGTAGTATTTAATAACTGCCAACTTCTAACTGATTGATTATTCTGAATGATTTTTGTTTTTCTGGACAAGTAATATAACTGCCGAGTAACGTATTCAAATGACAACGATTTGCAGATTCCAGCAACCCAAGAGAAACAAATGAGTAAACTCCTCATTTGCAACGAATGACAATTTGATGCGTTTTGGGATTCGCACGCCACATTGTCCATGCGTTCAAGAATACTGCTTATTGAATCGCGGCAGTGAATGTGTGCGTCATTGACCAATGTTGATGCTGCTTTCCCTTGGCCTGATATTAATGCTATGGATATTTCTTTTCAGCGATGTCACCTGCCATGCAGCTCGTGACGCATTGGCTATGGATGCTTATTATTGAAAGTCATTACATCTACCAAAGACCTTATCAAGCTAATGCATTCCTGATCAGGACGAGTAGCAAAATGCGTGCAAACCACTGCCTCGAATACGATTTTGAAACTTTTTTAAGAACAAAAAGTTGGACCTGAGAAATTGTTGTCTATAGCTCGCGCTCGCTCATAGTCAAAATATAAGCGTTAAAGTTGGATCATTTTACATTTAGAGCATTGTGCCTGCTTTTCTTAAATGTTTCTCTAATAAAGCTTTTCGGACAAGTGTGAAAATCGATTACGTCGAATCAATTACTAACAATCTATGTTGTTGTTTTTTTTTTGGTTTGTAGAATTACCTACGAAATTTTACCAATCTATGCATTTACGTGACATACAATACGAAACGTCGACTCAATGGATGTTTAGTCTATGTAGTAGTCAAATACTGTGGTAGAACTAGTGATAGGTATTAAGAGATACGGCCTGAGAAGAATATAAGCTCGTCCTTGTTTTTATAATTCAACGAGTATATCCGACGGTTCGCCCGACGTAATACTTCATGCGACTTTTCACAATCTCTTTCAAACAACCAGATAAGTTGTAGCGGGTGAATTTTCACGCTAACTTGGGCTTCCAATGCTTCTTCCTTCAATAATCAAACAAATACAGAAAGCGTATGAAAAAAATTGGAATCAATGGATGGCAAATGTTGACAAAGAGTACAACTTTAAAACTTCACTTTCCGTTACACACGTATTGCTATACCTTATACCATTTGCGATACAGTGTATATCAAGTTTGTGCGCTGAAGGACTGGA